ACACACACACACACACACACACACACACACACACACACACAGAGAGAGAGAGAGAGAGAGAGAGAGAGAGAGAGACAGAGACAGAGACAGAGACAGAGACAGAGAGACAGACAGAGAGACAGAGAAAGACAAAGAGACAGAGAGATCCTGGATGGAGACAGATAGGGCCAGAGCCCAGCTCTCACAAGATTGGTAAAGGAATTGGTTGCAGGTTGTGGGCTCCTAAATTAGAACCTTTGCTCTGATCCTCCCTCACTGTGTGACCTTGAACCCATCACTCCAGCTCTCTGAGCTTTATTTTCCTCGCCTATGAGTGATTAACAATATGCAATTTATAGGTTAGAACCCTCTCAAGGAAAACACATACTATGCACAGGACTCCATGGTGAGGTCCTGACTACCTAGACTTCCTTCCGAGCACCAAAAGCTCCCAGGGGGCTGCTCCAGGATCACAGCTTCTGCCCTTCCATTCCCCCCTCCCCTGCTAAATACAAGAGGCCTTTTCCTGACACCAGCCTCCAGCCATCCTCTGCCCTGTGCCCTGGCAGTCCCTACTGTTGGCTTATATGTTTGCTAATCTAGGGATGTCTTTTCCTCCAGACTTTGAGTCTACTTACTGATGACCTCAGCTCCTGACACATAGGGGGCTCGACAGGCCGCTCTGGAAGGACAGACAAGCTCCCTCTGCAGGACTGTCTGAGATGCACAATGGCTTACAAGCCCACATGCGCCTGCTACAGTGCTGCCTAACCACCACAGAGGTGCACTGAGCCTAGGCACCTGCCTCGGCTTCAATACGGTGAGTCTTACTTTATCTGTATCCATGCAATGCATCCCCTGCCTCAACCAACACACACAAGCAAATGTCTGTAGAACTTGCTTTGTTTTGCAGAACAGCCCAGACATCTCATGCTATTAGTCTCTTGAAGAAGCCTTCTTAAAAGGAACGCTAGCCATCATGTGCCCGGGGCTGGGTGCCCAAGCCAAAGGGACTGAGAGTACTCTGGGGGCTCTTTCTGGTAAGAGCTGCTGGGAGAACAGAGTGAGGCAGGAACAGTACTGCAGAGACACACAGTACCACAAGCCCCATCCCAGAGGCCTAATCATAAAGTCCTGGCTCGGGAAGCAGGTCGGCTTTGTATTTCTGAGGCTGCTGTTTACGGCACAGCATGAGAAGGGGGGGGGGGGGGGGGGGGGTCCCACCTGGAAGAGCTCGGCATCATCAGGGCTGTACTGGCTGGGCTCTGTCTCTGAGGTCTCCGGGCACCACTGCAGCTCCCCGAAGCACGCGGCTGAGTCAAAGTCACTGGTGTCCAGCTGGGAGAGGTCGAGCTCCGGCAGGTCAGCACACAGCTGTTCCTCCCCGGATTCCCCACCCTGAGGAGACAGGAGGGAAAGAGGTGGTCAGAGCTGACTGTGGCCACACCCAGCCAGGCACCTGCTCATTCATAAGGGCTGTTGATCCAGACCCTCTACCAAGACCCAAATTTGCCTCTGTACTCCTACACATCCCTCAAGGCTCTGCCCGCACAGCTTGTCTTTCTTCTTACAAGGACTGCTTCGCTGAAAAGTTTATTAGCGCCAGTAACCAGTTACCATTTTATATAAGTGCCCCTCACCTGGAACGCAATGCCTCATGGCTAATGTCCTTTTTAAATAATCACAGAACAGAACAAGGAGCTAATAATGTCTGACACTGAGTGATTCCCAAGCTTTCGTGAGACACCTAAGTCCACAGGCATGTTGGGGGGATTATTGATAATGTCTGAAGTGTGGAAGACCACCTAGACAGTAAGTTGGAAATAAAACCGTAACACACCTCTATTACAGAATACCACAGTCCTATCGAAAAGAATGAGACCGATCTAGGGATCGTCTTGGAGACGTGCCAGAGAAAAACCTAAGCTGCAGAAGAGACTCATGCAGCAGGCAATCCCCATGCATAGGGGAGGACATGGCAACCATGCTGCAGGCTTCCCCTATAGGATAGCATCCATGTAAGCTCACGGGAAGAGGTCTGCAGCCAGGTGAGGGTGGGAGGAAGTTTGGGGGGACTCTGGCAGCAGCACCACCCTGACCAACAGCCAACTCATCCTCATTTCCTAGGGATCTTTCCTTTTCTTTTTTTAAAAAAATTATTTATTTTAAGTACATCAGTGTTTTTGCTTACAGGTATGTCTGTATGAGGGTGTCAGATTCCCCCGGAACAGGAGTTACAGACAATGTGAGCTGCCATGTGGGTGCTGGGAATTGAATCCAGGTCCTCTAGAAGAGCAGCCAATGCTCTTAACTGCTGAGCCATCTCTCTAGCACCATCTGGAGGATTTTTTTTTCTTCAATGCAGACCCTCGGGCCAGCCCACCTCTGCTGGGTCACAAGCTGTTGACTTTCTCACTGGTACCCAAAGTCACCCATCACCGATTATGGGACTGCCCTGATGTTCAGAAACCCTCGAGGCAGCCGGGACGGGACTGCAGTGGAACACCACAGATTTGAGGAAGGCAGCTGAGGCCTGGCTATCAAGAGTCTAAATTTCTACTCATCAGCCAAAAGCCTGATAGGGAAAGCCATTCCCATGACCCTCTGAAACCCAACTGTCTCACTATAAAATGGATACAGTACCAGGTTTACAGGCAATTGAGGTGGTGTTACGCTCCAGCCCAGTAAGTACTCAATAAATGTCAGCTAAGGGCAGGGTAGTGACCTCAGAGAAAGACAATGGTCATAATAAAAGCAGCAGTGTTCTATGGTAGATGGGCAGGACTGGCCTGGGGGGGGACAGAGAGAGAGAAGGAAAAAAAGAAGGAAGGAAAGAAGGAAGGAAGGAAGGAAGGAAGGAAGGAAGGAAGAAAGAAAGAAAGAAAGAAAGAAAGAAAGAAAGAAAGAAAGAAAGAAAGAAAAGCAGGCAGGCAAACAAGACACTTAAGAGAAATAGGCTTTCCCCTGGCCTTTTCCTAATTGTTCCCACTTACTAGGCCTCATAAATTATGAATAAATGTATATAATTAGCTCAACTTGAAACAGGAAAAGGGCTTTTACCCAAATTTGGGTCAAATATCTTAATTGGCATTTTGCAAGAATCCTGCCTATATGGGCAGCATGGGAACCAGGACCCTGCACATGGCCATTCCCAGCTGAGTCTCAGGCCAAGCAGCACTGTGCCAGCAAATGTGCTCCGGGGACAAATCCCCACCATCCCCACTCTCCATCTTCCCCACTACATGATACCCAGTAGCCCTAAGTACTGAGCTGCGAGGCACTCAACCTCATACTAGAGAATAAGCAACAGCCAAGGGTGGGAACAGACAAAAGCGACCACTGTCCTCTCAGAGGTGGACCCCTGGGGGCTGAGGGAGGGATCACACAGAAAGTAGGATGACAGTCATCGCTGCTTATCTGTACAGAAAATTCCAGAAGTAAGCAATTCATAAGTTTTTAATTATGCATCATTCTGATAAACATGATGAAGTCTTAAGTAGTCAGGCCCCACGTCTCTGAGTCGTCCATGTGTCCAGTGGATCCACAGGGTGTGTACTGCTACCCATTAGGGTCTCCAGAGTCACCCTCACTCCCAGACAGACTGCTGTGGCAAGAAAGTGATATGTTCAGTTACCTCTGACCTCAGAGCAAATGCCCCCCAAGTTCAAGGGCAACAATGCTGCTGTCGGGACATGCTAATATGGAGCCGTGACGGACTCCTCATAGGGGCAAAGGCAGGCAAGCATTCTAAGCAGAAGAGAGAAGAGTCTTGTGATTAGGTGGGTTAAGATCTAAGAAATGGTGTAAGAATTTGTGAGCCAGGTGGTGGTGGCTCACGCCTTTAATCCCAGCACTCAGGAGGAGGCAGAGGCAGGCAGATCTCTTTGAATTTAAGGCCATCCTGGCCTATAGAGTGAGTTCCAGCACAGGCTCCAAAACTACAGAGAAACCCTGTCTTGAAAAACAAAACAAAACAAAACAAAAAAACAAAAAGAGGGAGATAAGAAATTCAAGCTGGTTTTGCTATCACACCTGAAACGTTTACAGTTAAGGTCGCAGCACAGAGTAGGGTGTAGTAAAGGTGGAAAGGGCTTCAGATTTTGTGTGTATGCATAGAAAAAAAACCCTACATTATTTAGGGTCTGTCTGGTGTGATCTGTGGCTTCAGGCATCTACTTGGGAACTCGAATACAAACTTCAAGAATAAGGACCACTGCATGAATTGTGATGAGGCCAGTTAGAAGCTTTTGGGCCTTGCTGGGGAACCTGAAGGTGACAGGAGACATGTTGCCTCAACTCTGAATTCCTGCAATAAGCCAGCCACGCCAGCTCTGAATCACCTATGCTCGGTCGCTGCAGCCACTAAGGGTAGGTTCTCCCATCTACTTCTTGGCACTTCTGTTCCCTTTGTGCCCAGTTGGTCTGGGGCAATGCAGATGGCTTTGGCTTTTGTGGACAGTCAGTTGCTTTGCTTCTATGGGCCACTGTAAGTCTGGAATAATTGTGTGTAAGCATAGTGGACATATGCTTTTATATCTCTGGGATGAATATTAGGTCTGGATTTGCTGGGTCATTTGGAGCCTGGGAGCTGAGTGTTGAAGGGGTGAGGTGGGGGCAGGTAAGGCTTCCTAAGGGAGGAGACAGAAGCCAGGTGATGGAGGAGGCAGGAGGGCATTAGTCAGGGCGCAGACCTCAGCGAGGGCCAGCCTAGCACATGCTGACGTGGAGCCGCAGAGTGCTGAGGTCAGCAGGCTGCAGCTCATTGTCTGGAGCTGGGGGGTGGCAGCGATGGCGGTGGATGAAGAGGCAGGTGGAAGCCGGATCAGGTGGGATTGCAGGAGATTTGGGTTTTACTCTGAGTGTGATGGGGGTAGGATCAGTACAGCAACCGAATTAGGCTGTTGGAAACATACAGGAGACAGGAGGTGGCAAGCTGGAGAGCCTCACCTAGGGCCTGGAGAACAGGAAGGAGGCCCTGAAGCTGAGACAGCAGGGGCCTGCTGACTGGCAGAGCCTTCAGCAGTCAGTGTTTCTACTACCCCAGGAACTCAGGGAGGCTACCTCCATAGCATCCGCTTTTTAGAAACAGCACAGAATCGAAGGAGTCTCAGAACCCCAGCTCAGCCGGGAGTCAGCAGTCCTGAAGGGTGGTGGTCCAGGAGATGGATGCCCTGGGAGGCAGAGACTCTGTGGAGAACCTGATAAAAGGTCCGGAGGGTGTGGTACAGGGGGCAAGCACCTGTGTTTAGCATGTGCAAAGCTGTAGGTTCGGTCCCCAGGACTGCCAACAGGAAAGCATCAGAGTGAAGATTCTTCCCCAACACACATGTATGCACACAGAATTCACGCAGCTCTGAGGTCTTCACACGGCTGCTCTACCGAAACTGAGGCTCAAGGGGGATAACGAGTCTGCTCAGGGTCATCCGGGAGTGTCCCTCTTTGGCAACCACATCACCTCCTTTGCAAAATGCCCATAAAGGCCCATGATGGCTGCACATATTGATCCCCACAGCAGCTCAACATACTCAGAGCATAGCCAGCTTTATTAAAAATAAAGAACCTCGGCTTAGTAGTCCTGTCAATTAGGCCCAAGACCGCTCTCCAGCTAAAAACCATTAGGCGCTCTGCTAATAGGACATTCTTGGCCCTCTCTACATTTAGAGGCTTCTGAGGGGGTGCCTAAGGTGACCCAGTTCCCTGGGAAAGGCCTCACTTGGGGCTTTCTGGTCCTGTCCCGGCCGCCTTGCCTTCTGCAAGCTCGGCTGAGAGAGCCAAGAGGTCACAGAACAGGACTAATAGCCACTGCTATTATTGAATGCTTGCTGTATGCCAAAAGCCATGCTCAATGCCTCATATACGCCTTCTCATCAGAGTCCTAGAACATACCCAGGAGGGTAGATGCTACCGCCCCCACAGTACGGGGCAGGAGACTGGGACACGGGGGTCACTTGTGTTTATCGCTATGGCTGCAATCACAGCTTACTACCTGTGCAAGGCACATCAACAGCAGAAAAGGAAATCGGCCTGGAGGCTAGCAGGCCATCATCAGGCCGCCATCTGGGTCCCTCCGAGGTTTTCAAGAGTAGGAACTGCCCCGCCTCAGTCCATGCTCTTTACTTTGCAGGTAGCCATCCTCCCTTTCTCTCACATCTCCCCTTTTGATGAGGACACGAGCCACACCAGATCAAGGCCTACCTACCTGACCTCAATTGAGCCTGGTCTTTTCTGTAAACACCTTATCTCTAAATCACCCAAGGTCCCAGAGAGGTGAGGCCCAGTCAAAGCCCAGGCTTTCTTCTCAAAAGCCGGTGCTACCGTCCATTACTGTTGGTGAGCGTGAGAGGAATATTGAAGACCATTCATTCCCACTTACAGACAGGAAGTGTGGCTTAGGTTGG